ATGGATTTAATGTTATTTTTAGTAGGAAGTATAGCTAAATATAGGAACTATAATGCTCAGTGATTCAGAAATTGTGTAGTTAATACGAATAGTTCAGTGATTTTTGCCAAGCTGAGCTACCACATTGCCACAGGTATTAGAGACTAAGTGTATAAATTTCTTTTTCCTTTTTTTTTGGGGAGACAGAGTCTCAAGCTGTGTCTCTGGGGAGAGTGCCGTGGCATCACAGATCACAGCAACCTCAAACTCTTGGGTGTAAGCGATTCCCTTGCCTCAGCCTCCCAAGTAGCTGGGACTACAGGCACCCGCCACAATGCCTGGCTATTTTTTGGTTGTAGTTGTAATTGTTGTTTGGCAGACCTGGGCTGGATTTGAACCTGCCAGCGCCATTGTATGTGGCTGGCGCCCTAGCCTCTTGAGCCACAGGCTCCAGGCCATGAATGTCTAAATTTCAAAGGCAAACTTGATTCCTCTTGGTTCCTCATGGTAGGAAGTTTATAAGAATACATCCTCCTAATGGGATATGACTATTCTCTTTTTCTTGAACTTACTTACCTCTTAGCCATTTGATATGCTGCCTTATATCAGTGCCATGTCATTAGCCGTGTACTACCAGTTAAGCAGATCATGTTAAGAATTAAGCATCTTCTGGTTATAGCAACTGCCATCAGCCTTCTTGTATTCAAAATTAATAATTACAGGGAGTTTTGTAAATTCTAAACAATCTGCTTTCCTTGAACATTCAAATTGCTATTAATCAAAATAGTACTAATTTTTCAGTTTTTGTATGAATGCAAGTATTTAAAAGATGTTTCAAATTTTCTTAACTAATTTCTGGCAAAGTGCTAAAGGAAAGTTGGCTTGTTCTGGCTGAAACATCATTTTCTTTTGGAAGGTGTTTGTTGCTTTGTTGTCTTTTTATTTTTTATTTACTTACTTTTTTTGTATTGTCCTTTTAAAGCGTGTACCAAGCATAAGTTGTATGAAGAAAGAAAGGACTTGCTCCTCAAAAGCCAGCTGAAATTCGAACACTGGACTATCTTTGGTCTGCTTAGGTTACATTAACTGCTTAGGTTTCCAGAGGAGTTGACATTTGGCTTCTTCACTTGCTGGACTAATACATCCATTCCTTTGACAAATATTTCTTGAGTGCCTGCTCTGCACTAGGCTAAGTGCTGAGGTTTATAGCAATGATCAAAACTCTCTACTCTCATGATACCTGCAGTGTAGTTATAGAGGGAGAGATAGACAACAATGAAATACATTATGTTAGGTATTAATATGTGCTCTGATGGGGAAAAAAGTAAGGCAGAATACAAGGATAGAGTGTGACTGAGGGAGAGGGCTGCTGTTTTAGAGAAGATGATCTGGAAAGGTCACACTCTTAAGGTGTTAAGTGGACAGAGACCTAAGGGAGGGAAGTATGCAGACATCCTAGAGGGAAAGTGTACCAGGTGAAAGGGAAGGTCTCTGTGCATAAAATCTTTATTTTTGTCTTTTGCCTTGTACTAGTGATGAATGTAGCAGCCTTTATTGCAAGTTCCTTTAGAGTTCATATGAGTAGTCAGACTTTTTCGATCCAGAACCATATTAGGTGTTCTCTGGAACTTGGAAAGTAGACTATAGAAAATGTAGAAATGAGACTAAGATTTGGACTTTTTTCACAAAAAGTGACTCTGTCCTTAACAAAGCTTGTATAATATGTTTCTTTTTTGTAATGAAAATACTGTGATACCTTTAACAGTAAATAGTATTATCAACTAAACCTGTTTGTTTTGGGGACAGTCTGTCTCCTTTAATTATGTACCTACGAATTTCAATTATGTCTCATGTAACCTTAAAGTAACACAGTAAAACAGAAGTAGATTGATGCTGCTTGTGTTTAAATGAAACTGAATACTAAATTACATACCAGTCAATCTGAGTTGTAGTTTTTTTTAATTTTACTCATTAGTGAAAATGGGTAATTTCCAAAGAAAATGTAGTGTTGTATGCTGCAGACTAGTCCTCTCCCTTGAGAATTAAAAGGAATGTAACATCTTTTTTGTACTTTTAATTCAGTATCTCTCTGATGAACTTAAATCTTTGTTGATAGACAGTATGTTGGAAATACCTCCATGTTCTATGTAGAGTCATTCTTTAACTTCATTGAGAATGTTGGATGCGTCCTCTCTTGGCTCTGTTTATTGCAGGCCACATTTATGACCCCCCTCCTCTTGGCTTCCCTTTGTATACCTCCCAGTCTGCCTGCCCATCTAGAATTTGAACTCTTTGGTAGATAGGCGTGAATCACCTCTGTCCCTAGTACTTGGCACTTAGCGGGCACTTGTTATACATTCTCAAGTCAACTAATGAATTAACTAATGCTCCATTCAAGTCATTATCAACCTTTTTGAGTCAATCTCCATTATGATAGTAATTATCTTTAGTTGTCATTGATTAAAAATATATAATTGTGTTGATCTGTATCACATTTTTATCATAGTAATTATCTTTAGTAGCCTTAATGAAGAATACGTAATTGTGTTAATTTGTGTCACAGTTAAGTGCAAGTTGTTAACCCAAGAGCATTTATATGTGTGAAAAATACATGTGAGTATGAGACATCGTTTATTCAGGCCACAGGAAATGGTTGTATAATATATAACACTGTGTAAACAAATACTGAACTCAATAAGTACTTCTATCAGAAATTTATAGAATACAGGCCTGGCATGGTGGCTCATGCCTGAAATCCTGGGACTCTGAGAGGCCTAGACAGGAAAATCACTTGAGATCAGGAGTTCAAGACCAGTCTGAGCAAAAGTGAGACCTATCTCTACTAAAACTAAAAAAATTACCCGAGTATTGTGGTGGGTGCCTGTAGTCCCAACTACTCAGGAGGCTGAGGCAGGAGGATTGCTTGAACCTAGAAGTTTAAGGTTGTTGTGAGGTAGGCTGACACCATAGCACTCTAGCCTGGGCAACAGAGTGAGACTCTGTCTCAAAAAAAAAAAAAAAAAGACATTCATATAATACCTTAAATATTTTTTATTAAAGCAAGATATAGAATCCTTTATGTATGTATTATAGCTTCTAGTCTATACTCATTCATTCATCTGCTATTTATTGGATGCTTTCTGTATACTAAGTTCTGTTCTAGGAGCTCAAGATTTTCAAACAGTTCCAGCCAAAAATCACCACAAACACATTGGTAGTTGATCAAATAAGTTTTGTTAACTCGGTGCAGGGAGAAAGAACACACACCATGAGAATTGTGGGGCCTCTCAGGAAGAGGATGTTAAAAAATACATCATAGGATTTAGACTTGAAAATATTAACCAAGAACATGTGAAGTATTAATCTAAACAACTGAAACAGGCTGGCCACTTTCTATAATTTAATTTCTTTAAGTATTTTTTTTGCTTGTACTTATTGGTCTTTGCTAAAATAGCTCCTGAATGGCTGAATATTTAGCTATTATTTTTTGTGTGTTGTTACTGTCTATTAGAAATATACCTTATAGCATGTAAACATTCTGAGTATGATTCTATTAAAGAGATGGGAATATTAATGTGACACATTGCAACATGCTAGTTTCCTTTCTATAGTTTCTATGGTTATTGTAGAGTGACCACATGCTATCACAAAAGGTATAAAAGAAACTCTTGTTTTAGGTAGTGATTTTCCTAAATGTATAAATATCCTCTTGTAGATAATTGTTAACAGTAATTTTTTTTTCTTTCCTCTGTTGTTTGTCACTGCAGCCACTTTATGATGCTGCATATCTTACAATGTACAATATCTGCTTCACATCCCTGCCCATCTTGGCCTATAGTCTACTGGAACAGCACATCAACATAGAGACTCTGACCTCAGACCCCCGATTATATATGTAAGTTGAATATATATTTAACTCCCCGCCCCCTCAACCCAGACTTTCAGAGTTAACGGGTTTCATTTCATCTACAGACAGGAAGGATACAGAACTGCTCACCTGGTTTGATTATATGGTTTTCATTAGACTTTTTAGCTATTGAATCCAAATCATTCATCAGTACAATGTCACATATTCCAGGTGTAGGTCCTATACTTGAAAGTGTGTAAAGCATTTAGTTTAAAATCACTGATTCCTAAAACTTAAACTTATATTGTCATAGGGTCCTAGTATCTTATAGGAAGACATGACATTTTAACTGCAAAAACAAAGCACACGCACAAAATATTTTATATTTTAGCATAGTGATTCCTACCTGTAGCGTATTAAACTGACAAGGTTGTTACTCTTTTTCTTGTAATCTGCACCTGAAACATTAGCTGCCCTCTTTTGTTAGCCCCATTCTAAAACTGTTTTGCTAAACAAAATAATTAACTTAAGCCATGATATTCATTTTGTGTCAGTTGGAAGTAGATGTTTCTCTCTATGGATGGAGAACTTGGCATTAGCCCCAGTTGCTTAACTTATGATTTAATTGGATTTTTAGAAGTTAAGCCTACAGCTAAGGATAAAGATGTTAATTTACAGCAGATTATGAGCATTGTTACATAGTGGATAGAAAGTGCAATAAAGAGGCTCAGGTGGTTTATTTGTACGAAATGAAGATTCACAAATATAAGGGATATCTTTAACCAGTATGACTCATGAAATTTGCATTTAGCAACTCTTAGAATTTTATAGACTTATAAAATTTATCATTCTAAGAATTTTTTTTTATTAAATGATAGCTGTGTACATTAATGCAATCATGGGGTACAGTGTGGTGTTTTCATATACAACTTGAAATATTTTCATCAAACTGGGCAACATAGCCTTTATGTCATTTTCCTAGTTATTGTGTTAAGATGTTTATATTCTACTTTCAGAAAGATTCACTTGTACCCTTGTAAGATAAACCACAGAGGTGATCCCTCCAATCTCCCTCCCTCCACCCCCTTCCCATCTCCCATCCCCATATTCTTAGGCTATAGTTAGGTTATAGCTTTCATATTCTAAGAATATTTATTAAGGAAAAATTCAAACATGCAAAAAAGTAGAATACTATTTACAGAATGAACTTCCCTGTTCTCACCACTCAGCATCAGCAGGTATCAATCATTGACAAACCTGTTCCATTAATTCTGTTAATAACCCCATCTTCTCTATCAGGCTTATTTTGAAGCAAATCTCAAATATTATATAAAACCATTATTCCATTATGTATCTCTTAAAGATTTTTTAAAATGGCTCGATGCCTGTAACACAGTGGTTACAGCATCAGCCACATACACCAAGGCTAGCAGGCTCGAACCTGGCCGGGCCAGCTAAAACAACAATGACAACTGCAACAAAAAATACTCAGGTGTTGTGGTGGGCGCCTGTAGTCCCAGCTACTTGGGAGGCTCTGTCTCAAAAAAA